TCATGGGGTATTTTCATTGTAAATTTAAAAAAGGAATGAATGAATGAATGAATGAATGGATTATTCGCTGGGTTTATTGTTGCATATTTGGTGCAAAAATGTTAAAACCTATATTTTTGTTTTGACAGGTTGCCAGTCTGCTAGATAAGCTCCACTCCACCAGGCAGCACCTCCATCAGATGTGGCATGTCAGGAAGCTTAAACTGGACCAGTGCTTCCAGCTGCGGCTCTTTGAACAGGACGCTGAGAAAGTAAATCTCTGCTCAAGAGTTTAACCCGATTAAAAACAAATGTTGAGCTTTAAAAGATCACATTGCTGAGTCGGCAGTCATCGAACCGCTTTGCTTTAAGTTGCCTTATGGAATATTCCTGGTGGATTAGGAATTATATCTCTGATCTTTCTGAAAGATGAAGAAGAAAGAACCACTGAAGAGACAAGCGATTCAAAATAAACAAAGCAAAGACGGCGCCAAAAAGAAATAATCAGAATCTACTCAAACCTGCTGGTGATCCTGGAGATCTGACAACATAATATAATGGAAATCCCTGAAAAGTTTATGTAGAGGAGTGTGTTTATGTCCTGAGTGTGTCAGGCACACATGTCCACAGACAGCCAGGCGTCAGCTGACCCGGTGTACATGCAGCCACACTAAATATTTACTGTAAAGCAAACAGGAAGGAAAAACAGCCATTTTGCTTCACGTTGTCACACTGAGGGGCTGCGGGGGCGTTAGCGGCAGTTTACACTGTGGGACCACCTCCCCCAGTCCAGCTGGGTAGTGGCGCTTAGTCCTGACGAGGCGGTTTGCTCCGTTGCCGTGGTAACAGAGGCAAATAAAATGAAGGGTAACCATCTTCCCATCTGTGTGAAAAGAGTGACGTATAGCGCCGCTCGTCTGTAATTGAAATGAGGTTTCTGCTGCGAGTTCTCCGTTGTTCCTCTTGTTCTGACTGCAACAGTTTAGCCACCATCTGCCCTGCAGACCAGAGATGAGTCAGAGCAACGCCTGGGAATGCTTTACATGTTATGATCATTAATCTGAAATCTTTCATCATGCATCGCTCTCTCTGAAAGCCCGTTTATTTTGAGCGTTCCTTGTCTCCTCAGTGATTCTAACGTGATCCTCCAGCATCTTGCAGTTTTTTACCTTCCAACTTCTTGTTTTTTTTCCAAAGTCCTTTAAAGATATTAAGTCAGTGTCTCTTTTGATATTTTTAAGATCATTGCAGAGTTTTTTTCTTCTTTTTTTATGAATAAAATTTAGATGATAGCATCAAAATAAACTATAAACTATCATCTGACCTCGAATAATTCTCACCTTAGGGTCAGGCACTGCTTCCTCTTTATTACCACAGTGTTTCCTCAGTGCTTCCCCATTTCTTCCAGTTTTCTTCCTTTGCATTTCCTTCCTGTTAATCTACAGTGCTTCTATAGTGCTTCCTCAACATTTCCCTTTCTCAGTGTTTCTCCAATGCTTCCTAAGTTTGTGCAAAGTGCTTTTCCCATCGTTCTTTAGTGATTCATAGTACTCCATCACTGTTTCCTCAGTCCTTCAGTGTTTCCTTTGTGTTTCTGAAATGCTTCCTGTTGAATCTTCAGTGTTTCTTCAGTGTCTTCCTTGGTATTCCCACAGTGTTTCCTTAGTTGCCTTCTCATTTCTTCCTTATTGCTTCCTCAGTCCTTCCCTGGTTCCTTCTTAAGGCCAGAACACACCGAATCCAATTTTGTGCCTGATCCAACAGAAAATCGCTTCAAACAAGGTTGTGGCGTTTAGAGCTAATTGAAAGTCAATGGCGATCTTCACACCCGACAAGGTGGGCAGCGTAGGTCCGACTGAGATAGAACCCGGGTCTATTTAAGTTCGGACTATGCAGCAATTCAGCCGAAAGCTGGAAGAGAGACACGGTTACAAAGGAAAAAACATCTCCTTTAGGGGGGAAATACAAAATGAAATCTGTTAATCGCATCGGGAAAGAGTCAGTTTTGGAGTGGCACATTGTGTAAATAGTAACTATAGTAACTGCGCTATGGTAACGGGACAGACTCGTCCAAAAACAATGAATAAAGCAATAAATGGAAAATAACAATTCAAGAGGACAGAAAATGGATGAAGTAGTGATCCTCTTTGATCGTCACAAAAAAAATAGCGAGAAGACAGAGCAGGTGAGATAAGCTTATCACTTTCCCCTCTTTATGAAATAAAACTGACAAACTTTTTTATTTTCTAGGCATATGAACATTTGTTTATTATTTTTTTATTTATATTTAATAACTTTTTATAATCTGTCAGTCAAATTTGGGAAATTGTTGTAATTTGTGTATAGTACAGAGACAGCAGTGAAAAAACTCTTCACAGATCTGCTCACCCTGCCTAGTCGGAGGCTCTCTATGCGCAGTCAGTGTGACATGGAAAAAAGTCGGATCTGAGATTGAAAAGTCGTACGCAACTGGTGTGTTCAGGCCTTTAGTGTTTCCACATTGCTTCCTTGTTTCCTCAGCGCCTCTCCGGTTGCTTCCTCAGCTTGTCTGCAGAACCTCTCTATCTTTCTCTATCTTTCTGTGGACATCAGAGATCTTCATCTTCTTTCTTCACTTCCAAATATTTTGACTTCAGGCAAACCTGTTTGAACCGCACTAACCTCGCTCTTTGTCTCTGCAGATGTTCGACTGGATTAGCCACAACAAGGAGTTATTCTTGCAGAGTCACACAGAGATCGGACGCAGTTACCAACATGCTGTGGAGCTGCAAACGCAACACAACCACTTCGCCATGAACTCTATGGTAAAAACTTACTGCTCCCTTCTAATTCCACATGTTTAGACTGTTGAAGAGAGCAATAGCAAAACTTCAGCCACTGAATTATATGCAAGTTTTTCAATGAATGTATGAAGAGGACGAACTTAAGAAGGTTCAAATGTCTCCATCAGAACGCCTACGTAAACATCAACAGAATCATGTCGGTGGCGAGCCGTCTAGCGGAGGCTGGCCACTATGCATCCACACAAATCAAGCAGATCTCTACTCAGCTGGATCAGGACTGGAAAAGTTTTGCCGCTGCACTTGATGAACGCTCTACTATCCTCGCCATGTCCTCTGTCTTTCACCAGAAGGCTGAGCAGGTGAGATCAGAATTGTTGGCTTCTGGCACCAGGGACAGAAAGCTTCCTTCTCCTTCAGCCTGTGCTGGAATCACGTGTCCAGAATGTTACATGAAAGTGGGACATTTTCTACTGCCTGGTTTTATTTGGTGGATGAAAGTGCTTCACTGCTGACTCCTGGGAGGTTGACATGGAAACTGATGAGACTGTTTGATTCCTGCTGGGCCCTTGATATTTTATTCAAGTGTGTATTTGAGTGGAAAAGAGATAAATGAGGAGGAGCCATCCAAAGGATTAGACTACAGAGGATAAATGTTAGAAAACAGACGGTCACAGAGAAGAATTACAATTTAAAACAGATTCATTAAAGAAATGATTCTTTGTAGTTAGTGGTGGAGGGGTTGATATCAGAGATTTATTATCCTGGTTTGGCCTGTAGTTACTGTTCTCTAAACTGAAGAGAAAAAAACAGGGTGCTGTAGTGTCAGAGCAGTAAAGATGTTTAATCTTCCTTCCTTCCTTCCTTCCTTCCTTCCTTCCTATTCATCTCTACATACCATCCAATCGACTCAATATGCTTCTGGTAAATTCACCTTTTTGCCAGTTCAACAAAATGACGACCAAAGAGGGAAACAGACTGAAGTTGTTTTTGTGAATATTTATCTTGGATTCAACAAACGTTGACATCATTCAATGTTTTGCTCGTGTTCCTCAGTTCTTGTCAGAGGTGGAAGCCTGGTGTAAAGTCTGCAGTGAGGGGGGGTTACCGTCTGAGATGCAGGAGCTGGAAATCGCCATCCATCGCCATCAGAGCCTGTACGAGCAGGTGACCCAGGCCTACACCGAGGTCAGTCTTCCTCACCACCAACAGCAGAGAAAATGATTATGAGCAACAAACAGCAACGCTTTGAAAGTCGTTTTTTCAGAAAAGCTTTTTTCTTTAAAGTTTGTAGCATAAATCTCTGAATAAAGCCACATTTTGAAATCCAGCTGCTGTTTCTAGATCTTGTTCTCTGATTAAACACAATGAAAATACTCTAAAGCTGCACATTTTCTACAAAATAGTCCTATTTTCAGCTGATGGAGAGCAGTAATATAGTTCTGTGCTGTCAGAGCGGCAGACTGTGATAACAGGGTGGCGATGCTCAGCCGCTGCGCTGACCCTTCCAGCCGTTTCAAACACTCCACTAAATTTAGTCCTGGAGTGCTCCCACTCTTCCCCGCTCCATACTGCTGTCTGTTGCTTTATCTTTAGACAAGCTGTCGCTGGTTTTCATGCTTATCTATAAAAAGATAAGTCCATATATATAAACAGACATAAACCTCCAGGCAGCCGTTCAGACTGAGGCAGTTCGCTTTGGCACGATCTTCCTGTCTTGACGGTTCTACGAGTCCTTCATGATGCTGCTTACCAGAAAATAAACTGCACTAAAGTTTTTATATACTATCACTACCTTGTTGCACAGTCAGACCGTTCAGGTTTTGTTTCATGCACTTTATTTCAGTGGTTGTTATAAAAATTAGACTGCATTTAGACAGAGAAACAAACAAAAAGTTCTTCACTGGAAAAAAATCTAAATCTATATAAGTCATTTTTTCTTAAAATAAGTGCATTTCTTCTTAAATTGAGGAGATTAAAGAGAGATTTTGCCAATGGAACAAGACAATTTAGATTTAAAATAAGAAAACATAATTGCATTGTCTTATTCCAAGTGCATATTATCAAATTATCTTATTTTAAGGGTAAAAATACTAATTCCACTGGCAAATTATCAAATTTACCTATAAAAAAATCAAGGGTAAATATACTTACCGTAATTTAAGACATTTTTACTTATTTCTAGATCATTTTTGCAGTGTTCAGAAACAAACAGCGTTTCAAATCTGTTCCCTGATCAGTAACAGGATCCATTCAGCGATTCACAGGTTAAAATTCGCTTGTTTATGTCCAGCCTTCATTAAAGATACCTGGGAATCGGTCTATGTACAAAAACCGTTTTGCTGGCGCTAATGGAAGCAGGCGTGCTAATGATGCCGAATGCAGGAGCAGCAGCCCTATCTGTTGCTGTAAAAAACATTCCCCTCTTCAACCTTGAGGACGCTCTTGTTCTTGCTTAGAATAGAAGCATTTTCGCCGCTGATGTTGCACCTCATGTCACAAATATTACAGCGAGAGAACGTCTGGAAAATAGAGCCATACTTTGAGATCTTTCTATTGGCCCTGCTTGCTTTGTTTACTTTCCCAGCAGCTTCTGACATCACTACACTCTTGTTTATGCAATCCTGTTTTCATGTCCAGCATGGAAAATCCTCCGCTCCTCCATTCCTTGTCATGATGTCATCTTTGTTTTTACTTGTTGTACTGGGTTTTATTGGGAGAATTTGGCCAGTAACCAAATTCATTACGCATTCCTAGTCTTCATCACCTAAAAGCTTTCAACTGAATTCTTACTTTCAACGTAACCTAGCTCTCATTCCTTTCTTTATTTATATGATTCAAAATCTAAAATAGAATAAATAAAGTCATCTTTCAGTGCTCTTCTATTGTTATTATAACTTTAAATTTTATTAGTGAGGTTTAAGCTATCTGAGTTGGATTCACTTGTCGTTAAACATTTTGTAAGTTTTTACTGAGAAATAGATTTAAAGCGGCCCTTTTATTTGACTTTACGACTAAAGCATTGTTTAATGAGCAGACTGACCCCTCAGTAGTTAAGCGCTTTAAACCTGTAGCCTATTTTCCTAAATGGGTCCAATCTAACAAGTAATCGAAGCGTTATATTGAAGATGGAACCCACCAAGATCCAGCTCAATTTAGACACAGATAGCAACTCCACATAAGCTAAAAAATCAAAAAAAAAAAAAAATTACTAATGTGTTATTTTAAGCCCATCTGTGCACACATAAGACAGACGATTCCTGCTTTATCAATGAAAGGGCGTGAGAAATATTTCAGTCGATAAGAGTACATGATTTAACTACGTATGTCTTTCAAATAATCAATTAACTTGCATAATTTCAGCAGTTGCAGAGTTAGAAAGTAAAGCTTGAATCAGCAGCCAAACCGCGTGAAAGAGGAATCACTTTAGAGGAGCAGCGGTTCCTGTTTAATCAGCACTTTTCCAAAGGAATGAATTCAGTCAAAAAAAATGTTTTTTTCTTTTTTTTTTTTTTATCATGTTTTGGATTTCATTCCAGCTCATAGTTAGTTATCATTTCTCAGACATTCCATAAATTAAAAAGCAGTAACTATACCTACTGACCATCCAGCATCCTCTATGCCTTTCATTCCTAAGCAGCAAATAAAAACAAGCCCAACTAGTGATTATAATTTTTCGTGGTTAAATCTATTACCTCTTCCATCTTCTATGAGGGTATTAATTTATTTCTACAAATGAACCTGTTGGCTTGTTTCTATAGATTTTCCACCTTCGTGAGGTTTTCTAGGAATGTAGGAAAATCCAGCTGAAGATATGAGGCCGTATATAATGTTGTGTTCATCAGAGCCAGATGAGATGAGATTTTAGGAAAACTTTGGAGGAAAAAAAGGCTAATGGTTTAAAAAATCCCACTCTTTATACCGGACCAGCAAGTTAAACCTTTCCACAATATCAAACTGTGGTTTAACTAGCCTTGCATCTATAGCTGCTGGTTAAGGAGGATATGTGAGCAAAGCAAATAAGGAAGATCACAGACAAATGTAGCTTCCCAGACCTAGAGTCGCCATCTCCCTGAAAAAAAAAGGGACACCTTGTCTGCGTAGTCTCAAATCTGACAGTGTGACCATGGGCTACAGAAAAAGCGAGCCGGCACATGGCGCAGTATGCTTCATATTCATTATCACAGACTTTTTCCACCCAGGTATTTGTTTTTCTCATTCCTTCCTATATTTCTGCATCCTTTTTTTATTTTGGAGGAGGAGCATCGCTATGCGAAGGTGTACCACCCCCAAAAGCTGCTTCAGCATTTAAATTACTCCGTTCGTCCCCCATACCGTTCTGTCGTCTCCCGCTATCTTCTCCTTGAGCAACTCTTGGCTCGACCAATGGGAGGAGGGTATTCTGGATCGTTACATATATGCTGTCAGCTCATTGGTTACAATGCAGAACAAGTTTACCATAAGTTTTGTATCTAACGTGCCCTTGTTCTTCATTTTCCAATAGCTTTTTGCTCTCACAGTAATGAGGGACAAAGTGTGTTCCTTTTCTACGACGGGTATTAGGGCCAGGCTAGAGATTTACAACTTTATTTTCGTAATTTTTTGACTTTATTTTTGTAATTTACGAATTTATTCTCGTAACATTACGATTTTATTCTCGAAATAAAAGAAAAAAAAAATCTCCAGCCTGGCCCTAATACTCTGTTGTACTGTGCACTAAATATGGGTCAGGTACTTCTATTTCTAAATACGGAACGATTCCGTTTTCAAGGGACTGTTGGCGACCCCACCCAGACCGAATCTTTGAGATTATTCACTTAAACATGTTAAAAAATACTAGTTTACTTTCATTACTCTCCCCAGTGTAGAAAAGTAGCTCAGCTTTGATCAATCATAGATCAAATGTAGTGCAGACTCATTTAAAAACATTTAAAAGCCATTAAGTTTAACAGACAAGAAAGTGTGGAGCTTAAGCGCTGTTAGCAGCTAACAGTTAGCCACAAAATGCTTTCTTTCCGCTCCAATCTTCTCTCTCACTATTTATTTTACCTACCAAACATAAGCCAAAGTAGAGGAGGCTCCTACCAAGCTGATGTGATCAAGTTTTCAATCATCCAGTCTGTCAACACAGCAGAACTAATCAATCACATCTTTCACATTTTACTTTAAAATAAGAGTCTGAGTCAAACACAGATGCTCACCTCATCAACATCACCCACATTACTGAGCCTTATAGTAACAGATTTGCCCTTTTTCATCAATATAAAAGCATGTTTTAGGAAAGAAAGGTTTCCTTTCCGCCTGATGTTCAGCCTTTTTCTGTCATGTGCAGGTGAGTCAGGATGGGAAAGCGCTGCTGGATGTCCTGCAGAGACCTCTGAGTCCAGTCAACTCTGACTCCCTAACGGCGACGGCCAATTACTCCAAAGCGGTCAGTGTCACTAGCAAGCGACCTTTAAGCAAATGACTGTATCATCTAAAGCTGTTTGTGTAACCTGTCAGGTTCATTGCATCCTTGACGTGGTGCATGAGGTCCTTCATCATCAGCGGCGCCTGGAAAACATTTGGCAGCATCGAAAGGTCCGACTGCACCAGAGGCTGCAGCTGTGTGTGTTCCAGCAAGACGTACAGCAGGTATAATATCACAAAGCTCTGAGTCACCAAGATAAAGGACATTATAGCTCTTAGTCTACGGCAGAGCGGAGGTCTTCAACAGGGGGTCCAAGACCCCTAGGGGGTCCACGGATGTACTGCATGGGGGTCACGGAAGTTTTGGTTGATGATACTTTTTTTTATATTCCCCCTGCAATTTTTTCCACTAATTGAAATGTCTTTAAATACACATTAACATGAATTCTCACACACTGTAGTAAACCGATAAATGGAGGCAAAAGATGTCTTTCAGTCATTAATGCACACATTCAGCGACACACAGGAGCTCTTTCAAGCTGGGCACCGTTTCATTCACAACACCTGTCCCATCAACCAGGAATCAGAATCAGAAATACCTTAATAATCCTACGGAGAAATTCCTTTCTTGACATTACTCCATCTGTAATAGAGTGACTCTAGGATTAGTTTGATATAACACAATTTCATACAATATATATGTAATTAGGGGGTCCCTGCTCCATCTCGGCATCAGTTTGGGGGTCCTTGGCCTGGAAAACGTTGAAGACCCCTGGTCTAGAGGAAGTGAGGGAAGGAGAAAGGTGGGCTGTGAGACTCAGTAATGCTTCACATTTACTGGAGTTACACAAGCACTGCTTCTGGAAACCGTTTCAGATCTGTTTTAAATAAAGTCAAGTAGGTTCTGCCACCTAGTGTAGGACCATTGGACAAGAGTCCATCGTCCCCCTGTAGTTTAGGGTTTTATCTCAGAGACGACATGTTTGATGAAAACTTCTAGGCTTCCTACTGGGTCAGGGTCCAGGGCTGGTAGACTCATAATGCCAATGTGGTCTGGAAGGTCATTTTCATCTTTGGCATAATGGAAAGTGAACTGTTCTAAGGTCAAACAGTTGGAGAAACATCCTCATTAAATGATGCCAGAGGTAAAGTGCTTCACAATATACTGTGGCTTTAGTTCAGGGTTTAGATTACTCTCCGATCCACTGTGGAGCAGGAAATCTATGTGGTAAGAAAACTGTTAATATCTTAAGTTGTCTTGATTTGCATTTACTTATAGTTTCATACGTGCATGTGACATCAGGGTGTTTAATCTGCAAGAATGCAAGGTTAGAAATTATAAATACACTTTACAAATGCACAAAAATACAACACTAAGGTACTAACCATATGGTTATGATTAGAAACGACAGTAGCAGCCATTCAAATTGGCCCTTCCCAGTCAAACGCCAGCTGAATAGCAGATCACTTCCCTCCAACTCCCTGTGAAATCCCCTCCAGCTTCCAGCCACTGCAGTGACCCCCTCTTGCATATTTTTTTTACTCTGACTCCACCCTTTCACTGAATTACAGACTCTGACCAGGAGATGATGCTTCTCTTTAGATCTTAATGTCTACAAATCATGACAGAGAGAAGACTTTAGTACAAATATTGATGTTTAAATAGGAATTGTAGAGACCAGCCAAGGGCCCATTAAGGAAAGTGTGGAAATTTGGAATGGCTACTACTGTAGATAATAAATTGTAACTGCATATTTACTTTGTTTAGTAACTAGTCACTTTACTTGAGCAGTAACTGAGTTATTAATCAATTTCTTTGTTGTCAACAACAATTTACAATGTATTAGAGATTTCAGTTCAGTACAAACCCTTCATCACATACAACTCCTTACCAGTTGGTGGCGGTATTGCACCTGAACATTTCGCCAACCACCTTCTAGCGTGGAGAAGAGAAAGATGACAAAAAGAGGACCAAGGATCAAACATTATACTGTTCACGGGTTAAAAACAACATTTTAGTAAAGATCTAACCTTGTTTTTCTCCTCCTCATCTTCTCGTTTAAAGGTGGTCGGTGAACAAATTTTTGGTAGAGTACTGCCACCAACTGGTAGGGAGTGTTAGAGCTTTATGTATCTTACTCCTAAATGTCTTTTTTGTATTTGTAATGCCATTTCGCTGCAAAGTTGTACATTCCTAACTTATATTTATACATTGCAAACATTTTTTTTTTATAGATGTAGATTTTTATTGGCAGTTATCATACCTTATAAAAACCAGATTTAGTGATTTATTCAGCGTTTTGTTCCAATATGGGACTTTGATTGAGTTCCAGCCTTCTGATATAAAATTAAAAACTCACAGGTATCTGTCACACAGACCTTCTCTATCCTGGAGTGAATCATAGGCTCAGTCTTTGTTATCTGATGTATTATTGGATCGATTGCAAATTTAGTTTTTCTTCATCTCTAAGCTTTTAAGCAACAACTTATTTCCACTCTTCTGTTTGTTTTACCTCTACAGTCGGCTTTTTAATCAAAGAGCGCTGCTGTTTTGAACATTAAGGAAGCGCATTTCAACCCACATGCACCACATTCCCTGCCTCTGTCCTTAAATAAGGACCACATGTTTGATTCCTGCTTGTTCGCGGGATGAATGAGCTCAGGGATTGAAATCCACTCTGTTTTCACTTGGAACCGTTAAAATAATGAGTCAGTTGCACCAAATATCTAGCAAGCATGTCATAACTGTTGGTTGTGTAGGTTTTCTATTACTTTGCTGCACCCACTGTTAAATCATGGGCTATGTAGATATTTAATTCCCCCCCCATTATAGTAATTGATCTGGTTAGCGATGTTGGACCGCCAATATTTTGAACTCAGCTGTAATTGTTGGTTGGTCTAATTGGCTGGCATTTAGCACATGACAGAACCTAACAGGGCTGAAACGCTTTCTCCTGTGGTTTCACTTTCCTGACTGGGACTCTGCCCCGACCCGCTTGGATCGCGTCGTCGTGTGTGTGTAGATCTTTGTGGCGTCTGCTTTGCAGAACCAGCGCGGCGTGTTCATTCATCCTTCTACATCCTTCTCACACAAACTGCTGTCTGCTACCGCTGCTCATCCCTCAGACCCCAGACGGGTTTGGAGACATTCCTGGAGCCTGTATGAATGTCCAGGAGCTCCTGATTTAATTTTGCAGCTGTTTATATCTATAACAAAGGGGAGGGACTGTGATTAGCTGGAGTGGACCAGAAGGAGGGTTGAAATGTGAATCTGATGTAACTAGAATCAAGTCCAGCCAAGTATTACTGCTGTTGCGGGAATTTCTCTGAAGAGGTTTTACAGATAAAGTGATCCAAAACAGGCAAAGATAAACAGAATGAGGCAAATCAGCTTAAATTAAATGTTTGAAGAAAATTCCACTGACGATGTTTCACATGAAATGATGAGAAGCTTCTATTTACCCTGGTTCTGGACCGGCTGTTCCCAGAAGAACTGCTGGAAGCAGAGGTTTCCAGGCTCCTATATGTTCAAATCTCTCATGATAATTGATGCCAGGATTCTGCCTTAGCTTAAAGTTATAGTGGAGGATGTTTGATATGTTCCATATGAATCATATAAATAAGTAGTGGTCCTCCTAATTGTCAATAATTCTGGTGATATTTTTGCGTAAGGACTTCTTACTTTCTCCTCCTCATTTTCACTTACTGCTGGTGAGTCTGACATGGTGGACAAATTGCAAATCTACCTTTAGAAAGTAAGCTTGTTTGAGCGATGCAAACAGCAACTATAAACAGAAAGCGTGCACAAGGAGAAATGGGCTTGTACATGCTCTTGCAGCCGTATAATAGTCGTTCCCTCTCAGGAGTGGGTACAGGGCTGTGCATGTGCATTTTATTTATTTTTTTTGGAGAGAGCAGGTCTTTTCAAAAATACGTAAAAATCCTCCATTATACCTTTAAACATCCTCCTGATTTAAGTGAGAACTAATGGGCTCTATGCACAGCTCCACTACTTCCTG